TGTTTAGCTTGGGTACTTGTTATTTATCTGTTTATTTTAAAGTTTTATTACATTTAGAGTAAGAGTATGAGTGCACGCATAGGTTAACAATGCTTCAGAGCTGGTTTGGTTCTCTCCAAAGGGTCCTGAGGATCAAATTCCAAGTTAACCTTAAGTTGCTCTCTCTTGTCTGCTGGGTCACATTAACCCAAAAAGGAATTTAATATCCACATGAAGTTGGACCTTTACTCTACACTATTAAAGACAGAAAAATCTAAACACTAAGATCTAAAACCTACAATCTGTCCTGCCTGCAAGAAGTGCTGGGGAAATGGTGGTGCAAAACTTTTGAGAGTGGCTAATCCATAACTGGTCCAACTTGAGGCCCATGCCACAAGAGGGAGTTCATGCCTGACATTGCCTAGATAGCCAGGAACCAGAGGCACAACAGCCCAGAGACCCAGGATAGAACCAAACACAACTGGCACCAAAAAAAAAAAAAAAGAAAAGAAAAAGAAAGAATAATTCCTAATGATACTCTGCTGTACTCATAGATCAGTGCTACCCAAATTGTCAAATGGGTGTCAGATGCAAAGACCCACAGCCAAACATTAGGCAGAGCCAGGGGAACCCCGCAGAAGAAGCGAGGGAAGGTTGTAGGAGCCAGAAAGGATGAAGACACTACAAGAACGCAGCACACACTCAACTAAGCAAGGCTCATAAGGGCTCACAGAAACAAACACAGAGAGACAAGCACAGAGCCTATATAGGTCTCTGCATGTACATATCTTGGAGTTGTTGTACTGACTCTTTTGCCTATGCTTGGGACCCTTTTCCTCCAACTGTGATGAGGGTTTGTGCCCAGTCTTATTTGCTAGTCCATGTTCAGTGGGAGACCTGAAGGAATACGTTCATTCATGTTCTCGTTCTCTCTCGTTCTCTCTCTCTCTCTCTCTCTCTCTCTCTCTCTCTCTCTCTCTCTCTCTCTCTCTCTCTCAACAGGAGTTGATCTGGGGAAAAGGGGAGGGACTGGAAGGAGTGGAGAGAGGAGAAACTGGTTGGGATGTAATGTATTAGAGAAGAATAAAGGAGTGAGTGTGTGAGTGTGTGTGTGTGTGTGTGTGTGTGTGTGTGTGTGTGTGTGTGTGTGTATGGACAAGGATGGAAGGGAGTGGGGGGATGTCTCAGTGATATAACACTTGTATTAACATGGGTTATTAGCCCTGGATATGATCTCCAGCATGTAGTGAAAGGAGGGAGCACAAAGGATTTGAACAGACATTTACCCCCAAAGAAGCTATATAAATGGCTAATAAGTCTATAAAAAGATGATCAAACTTCATTAACTGTAGTGGAATGAGAATAATACCCACATAGAGCCTACACCATTCCAGTTCTTTCTCCATTCCTCTCCCCTCGCCTCCTCCTCTTCCTGACTCCTACTTTAGGATTTAAGCTCTGAGTTACAGTTTCGGTGCAGCCATCTATGCCTGCCTGTCACCATGCTCCCCACCATACTGATCATGGACTCTAACCCCATGAAACTGTAAGTCCCAAATAAACTCTCCCTTCTATGCATGCCCTTGGTCATGGTGTCTTATCACAACAATAGAAAAGTAACTAAGACACAAATGATTGGAGAAATGCAAATCAAAAACACTGAGTTAACAACTTATACTATGTAAGAGATAAGATACAAACAGAAAATAACAAGTATCAACAATGATGTAGAGACATTGGAGCGCTTCTTATATATACACTGTTGGCAGGAAATGTAAAATGATATATCCCCTGGGAAAACAGTGGTCTTGCAAAAACCTTCTTTAAATTACATTTATTTATAAAAGATTTATTTGCATAGTATGTGCATGTGTGAGCATCTTTGTGCACCATGTACATGCCTAGTACCCAGAGGCCAAAAGAGGCAATGGGATCCCGTTACTGCTATGTGAGTATTGGGAACTTAACATGGGTCTTCTTCAAGAAGACCTTAACACGGAACTGTATCTCCAGTTCCCACCTATATTCATCAAGGATGAATATGTGGGCAAACACATGTTATAGAGGACAATACATAGGCTAAGTTCTCTCCTATCCTGTGGGTCCTGGGAATCCAACTCAGGTCATCAGGCTTTATCAAGCACCTTTAACCACCAAGTCATCTCACAACCCCTAAAAATTTGTTTTTTAGTTTTTTGGTTTTTTTTTTTTTTTGTTTTGTTTTTTTATTCAGCAAAGGGCAGCGCTTCCATGGATATCAACCAAACATGCATACTGAGTTGCAGTATTAAGGCTGGACAAGGCAACCCAGTATGAGAAATAGAGTCCCAAAGGAAAAAGAAAGCATCTTCAACAAATGGTGCTGGTCTAACTGGACGCCCACATGTAGAAGAATGCAAATAGATCCATATCTATCACCCCGAACAAAACTCAAGTCCAAGTGAATCAAAGACCGCAACATAAATCTAGACATACTAAACCAATAGAAGAGAAAGTGAGGAATGGTTTTGAACACATTGGCACAGGAAACAACTTCCTGAACAGAACACCAATAGCGCAGGCACTAAGAACAGTTAATAAATGGGACATCATGAAACTGAAAAGCTTCTTTCTGTAAGGCAAAGGACACCATCACTAGGACAAAACAGAAGCCTACAGAACGGGAAAAGATCTTCACCAACTCCACATCTGACAGAGGGCTAATTTTCAAAATATGTAAAGAACTCAAGAAACTAGTCATCAACAAACCAAATAACCCAATTCTCTAAACAGAATTCTCAACAGAGGAATCTCAAATGGCCAAGAAACACTTAATGAAATGTTCAGTATTCTTAGACATCAGGGAAATGCAAATCAAAATGGCTCAGATTCCACCTTACACCTGTCAGAATGGCTATGATGAAAAAAAAAAGTGACAGTTCATGCTGTCCTGAATGGGAAACAAGGGGAACAAGAGGAACACTCTTCCATTGCTGGTATAAGTGCAAACTTGTACAGGTACTTTAGAAACCAATACAGCAATTTCTCAGAAGATGAGGAATTGAACTACATATAATTAAAGATAATAACAGTTTACTCTCCTTTCCATTTTTTTTTAAAGGAAAAAACTTCCACTTTTTTGACAGCTAAGAAAAGACTGACAGAGAACTAACCATTTTGATTTGTTGGGCAAGTGTACTGTACATAAAGCAGTAACTTTAAAATTTCTGCTTCTTTTAAGGACACTTATGTTGTAATAAACGGGTTTTTTTTTAATTGCACTCCTTAAATATTTCTGTTAATTCTATTTGCACATCTTTCAACTTGTATCTATTACTTATCAAGGTGTTATCGATTTCAAACATTTTTTCAAAGTCTCAAAGACTGTATTAGCACTCACAAGCCCTGAATAGTATTTAACATGCTAATCATATTTTACAGAGGAAGAATTAGGATCATTTAACTAAAACAATTTGCTTAATTCACAGCTATACCAGCTATTCCACTCTTGGGCATATACCCAAAGGCTGCTCCATCATACCACAAAAGACACCTGCTCAACTATGTTCAAAACTTTGTTTTAACGTTTATTCACTGTGTACAAGATTTGTTTTTATGTAGTGTTTTGCCTGCACGTTTGTCTGTGTGAGGGTGTTGGATCCTCTAGGACTGGAGTTACAAGCAGTTGTGAGCTGCCATGTGGGTGCTGGGAATTGAAACCAGGTCCTCTGGAGGAGCAGCCAATGCTCTTCTTAACTGCTAAGCAACCTCCCAGCACCACATCATGTGAATTTTTACGATCAAAGTCAGGTTGTCAGGTTTGGTGTTAAATGCATTGACCTGCTGAGTTATCATCACCTGGGGCCAACTTTTTTTTCAGTAGCAATTCTACTGTAGACACACAAATTGAAATCAAGAACTTCTACACTTATTTTCATACCAGCATTATTCATAGTAGCCAGAAGGTAAAAGCAACCCAAGTGTCTATTAACAGATGAATGAATAAACAATATACAATACATGCAAATAATGGAATACTACTCAGCCTCATCCCAGAAGTGCTACATATACAAACCTTGAAGGTATAATACCAGGAGAAATAAGACCATCACAAAAATACAAATAGTGTATGGTTACACTGATATGAGGCACGGGAAACTATCATGTTCATACAGACAGAAAGCAGAATAGTAGTTTCCAGGACTAGAGAAACAGAAAGTTATCATTTAGTGGTACTGGGCTGGTGTTTGGGCATACAAAAAAAAAATTGTGGAAATGGAGAGTGGTAATGGCTGTCAAACAATATGAATGCATTTAAGACACTGAGCTGAATGTAGGGGTGCGAGAGATGATTAAATTAGTAAATTTTATGTGGTATGTTTTTAAGCAAATTTTAGAAGTACAATGAGGAAAATACTAAATTCACTTTGACCAGAACTTTTTTTTTTTTTTTTGGTTTTTCGAGACAGGGTTTCTCTGTGTAGCTTTGCGCCTTTTCCTGGAACTCACTTGGTAGCCCAGGCTGGCCTCGAACTCACAGAGATCCGCCTGGCTCTGCCTCCCGAGTGCTGGGATTAAAGGTGTGCGCCACCACCGCCCGGCCAGAACTATTTTTTTAATCTATAATAGATTTAGAAAAATAACTTTTTGATGCTCTGTCAAATGTTTCCCAGTACTCTTTCAGAAAGGAAAGTATACAGACCTAAAACAAGATTGTTTAGAATATTAAATATTCTTTTTGGGAAGGATCAAAGGCGAAGTTAATTAAAACTTGTCACCCATGTCAAATCAATAACCAAATTAAAGGTCTGGATTAACAAAAAAACTAAGTATTTTGTTTCCCTAGACACTGTACACACAGTAAGTCACTGCAGATTTGTCTCAAAGGGAATTCTGGCCTATAGTATGCTGGCTAGTAAATTCCTAAACAAATACAAAACTATTAGGCTGCCCCCACCACCATGGTGTTTACTTATAATTTGGTTGTTCCACTTAAGAAGGGCTGTTTTAAGAGTGAATCTAAAAGGCTTAGGTTTCCTTACCTGTTCACTAATAACTTGGAATTCTCTCATTTCATCCTCAGTTAAGGGAGCACATGTTTCATCATTTTCACTGTCTTCCTGCCAGCCCATCTCCTTTAATAATCTGAAAAGAAGAAAAGTAATTTTAATTTAGAGCTTCACCTGGGTAATGCAATTATTCCCTTAATACTATGTACAAGAAAACACAATTCATAGTCTGCTACACAGACTATGATACAAGATATATATGATACCCAAGATACAAAAGGACTTCTGAGTTTATTTTCTTAAAAGTGAGTAATTGAGCAAGCAAACCATATTTAGTAGTAAATAAGAATGAATTGCTTGACTGCTTAATCTTCAGGATCAAGGTTCTCTATGCTGGAAACTTCGAATAGGAGAGTCAAAAATAAAAAATGGCAAACACTTATACTAATAGTGATAATGCCATTTTTTCTTTTTCAATACCACCACAATCCAACATATTCTCAACTCTCCATTAGGTTTTCTACTTGGAAAAGAAAGACTCAGAAGCATGCCCTATCTTGCATTTTACAATTTATTTTCTACCAATGTCTTGGGTGTATGACATTCACTTATCCTTAGTACACAATTCATTCTGAAAAGAGGCATTATGTTTGACAATAACAGAAACACGATTTTTCAAAGTTATCAACCTAGAACTATATAATGAAAAATAACAGTTTAAACTTTTCAATATTTTTTTTAAAGAAAATACTTCCATTTTTAGGAAAACAGAGCTAAGAAAAGACTAACAGAGAACTAACCATTTTGATTTGTTGGACAAACATGCTGCACATAAAGCAGTAACTTTGAAGTTTCTGCATTTTTTAAGGACACTTAAAAATTGGTATTTTTAATTGCACTCCTTAAATATTTGTTATTTCTATTTGGACGTCTTTCAACTTTTATCTATTACATATCATGGTGTTATCATTTCATACATTTTTTCGAAGTCTCAAAGAATATATTAGTACTCAAGAGATCTGAATAGTACCTAACATGCTACTCATATTTTACAGAAAAAGAATTAGGGTCACTTAAGTACAACAATTTGCTTACTTCACAGCAAAGAAAAAGAATTTTATTATTCTGCCTCCAGAATTAGTATGTTCTACACTGAACAACCTCAAAACCAATACAGTCGAGTCAGCATTAATTATTTCTTTGATTTCTATTCACTGGCTTTTCTGATACACTGTCTTGACTATAACATAGATGGCTGCCCTTAGAAAGAAATGGCATTTCTACTTACCCTAATCATTCAGTATCACCTAATTCAAAGCTCACAAACTAAGACTAATAGAACTTACTGCTTTTGCTATGACCATTTTTCCTTCTTTTACTTATAAGAACTGAAAAACATTTGTGATGCCCTGTGTTCAATCAACAACACTAAAAGAAATGGAGAAGGGAACAAGTATTCTTAACTCTCCAGCTGGATTATTTAATACATGATTATTTAATACAAAACAAAGAATTATCTCTAGAAACTATTGTTCATTACTGATAAATGCATCCACTATAAGGTTATATGTACTTATGAACTGCAAATAAAGTTAAGTGAAAACCGAAGCTATGATATCTTTTTTCACATATGAAATCACATTTTCTTAAAGAAATTAAACCTGAAGTCTACAAGTAAACTAAAAGAAATCTAAATGTAACTCTGTAAGCTTAGAGAAAAGAATGTTTTATGGGCTTAAGGTATAGGACTCAGTGGTTGAAAGCTTGTCTAGCAGGGCAGGTTCAATCCCCAACTCCCCCACAAACAAAAGGTTAAGAATAACCATAATTTATTTGCTCTAGGATTAGATTTAATTTAATTTCCTAGATTTAAATGTGAACTACACAATTTACTGACTTTGAGACACTGAATAATCAACATCTGTCTTGGCTCCTCTGTGAGACAGAAATACAGTCAATGAAAAACATTCAAGTACATATATAATCTTTCAAAAAGAAACTTCCTATGTATGTATACATTTGTTCATTTCTATATGTGCACATATGTTCATATAAATATAAATTTTCATTAATTCAAATGGGCACTTTTCATTTTCCCTTTACATACTGGGATAATACCCAATATAGTATTACTAACATGTAACTTGCACCCATGTAGAGACTGCTCCACATTAATATAAATGGATGTGCTTAGCTTTCATAAATTTCTACCCAGTGTTATACAGGATGTGCAATTCTGCTATTAATAGCATTTACATAGATTCTCATTTTCAATCTCCCATCATTATCTTCTTATGAATAGTTCATATACCTCACGGTGCACCAGTCATTATTTTCATTTCTCTACATATAATCTATCTCATTAATTTAGGCAGAAGCCCTATAAGGTAAGCATCCCTAAAGAAACGTTTTCTTAATGTTCACAAAAACAAAACAAACAAACAAAAAACACCTTACACATGAATGCTTGTAAAGGCATTACTTCTAATACTTAGGAAGTGGGGGAAAATAAAGATGTTAAGCAGTTGAGACCACTAGCTACTCTTTCAGCAAACCAGGGCTCGATTCCCAGTATCTACATGGCAGCTCACAACCATCTGTAACTCCAATTCCAGGGTATCTGATGCCCTCTTCTGGCCTCCGTAGATACCAGGTATACATGTGGTGGTACAGACATAAACGTAAGCAAACAAACACATAAAATGAATCTTAAAAATGAATATAAAGTCATGCAGCCATACAATATACTACTGAGCAATAAAAAAAGAACAAAGTACTGGCATACTCTAAAACAGGAATGAAATTAGGCTTAATCAAAGCCAGCATGAAAGAGCCGAGATACAATCCAAAATCAACTCCATATAGAAAACAGATCAGTGATTATGTAAGTCAGGGTGAAATGATTAAATCACAAGGGAAACACAACTGTAAATGCAATAACAAAACATCTGCCCATTTAAAAGCGAGTCAACCTTATTTTTAATAAACATGTTAAAAAGCAAACAAATGAGGGTTAGGTGGTGGCCCACATTTAATCCCAGCAGCACTCAAGAGGCAGTGCCAGGCATAGTTCAAGGCCAGCCTGGCCTACATACTAAATTCCAGACTGGCCAAAGTTATATGGTAAGATCCAGTAACAAAAAAGAAAGAGAAATAAATTAAGGGTTAAGACTATGGCACATGTAGAGTAACAAGTGAGAACCTAGATCCAGTACCCAGCATCACAAAAATAAGCCATCAATCACTTAAACTTGGTAAAATCTTGAACAGAGATAATGTTGGCTAAAAAAATAGAAATAATTACTAACCTGTGTTCTGCCTCAAGTGAACTGGAAAGAACATCAGTTTGTGGAAAGGTTGAAGAACGAATGATCTGTTGAGAAATCACCGAAGCATTGCCGTTCTCTTGTGGAATTTCATTTTCATCAAAGTTTCTGTTTATATCTCTTTCTTGGTGAGTACTATTGCTGTTATGCAAATTAAATGAGTCGTCATCCTGAATTTTAGGGAGTTTAAAAAAAAAAGAGTGAGTTCTAAAGAACAGTTACTGACAACCAAAAGAACCTATCTAGATTCTCATGAAAAATACATAAATCTAAATTATTCATCATTAAATTTCAAAGGTATTCTCACAAAAATACCTAAGGCCAAAAAGTTAAATATGAAGGAAAAGAAAAAGGAATAATTAGCAGCTGGTACTTGCTATGTAGTCCCTGCTGGACTCAGTCTTGCATCAATCCTCCTGCTCCAGTCTACAGAGAACTGGAATTATAGGCATGTACCACAGTGCCAAGGTAAAAGGATTTTTTAAAAAAGGATAGATTTGTGTCCAGGCATGGTCATGCACACCTGTAATTTCAGCATGTGACGGAGGCTAAAGCAAAGGATCATAAATTACATGTCAGCCTAGACTACTTACTTAAGACCCTATCTTCCCAAAAAAAAAAAAAAAAAAAAAAAACACAACAAAATCCATGTATTTTTGCATAGAAAAATACAAAATGAGAAGTTTCAGAAAAAAAGCTAGCTATCTTTCTTTACAGGGAGATGAAATTTTTTCTACAATTTTAATATAGGTTTACTGAAGGCTTATTTACAACTGTGTGGATAGAAGCACCCCTAAGGATGGAGGCCAGACAATAGGTAGACGAGAAAGGGGAAGACACCACGGAGATCATCAATAGGGAGGGAGTCAAGGAAGTAACCTGTTGAAGATGCACACAGGTAGGGAACCAGGGGATTAGAGGCTCTGATCTTACTATCTGCCTTTTCCATTTCCTGCTAGGGCTCCTCAAAACTGAATCAAGCTAAGAAAGCAGAGCTCATTTCTAATCCTGCGAAAGTATTCAGCGACTACACAGAACAGCAATGACGAAGTCAAGCACATCTGAAACAATGTACAGAGCCGACCTGGACTCTAGCATCAGTGTTAGGCACCATCACAAGTACTTCTGCCCAAACCAGGTGTGTGGGTACCCAGCTTTCCAGAGGTGGAGGCAGGAGAATAAGAAGTTCAAGGTTAGCCTCAACTACACAGAGTTAAAGATCAGTCTGGGCCATATAAGACCCTCAAACATCCCCCCAAAGACAGGAACCTGCTGGCATGGGCTTAGCAGGAGGAAAACCAAAGATCAAGTTTTAATTGGAGTTTATCAAGGTTCTAAATATTTACCCACATAGTTTAAAAGTACGTTCCTGTCAAATCAAGAATCACTGCAATTTCAATTACCTTCTCTGAGCCAGCATGGCTCTCATCTTCATGTTCCTCTTCTACTCTGTCCCTTTTCAATGCTTTCAAAAACTCACTCTTCTTATCACTTCGCATTCGTGTCAGTTTAGTTAAACGAGGCTGCTGATTAAGTTTGTCAACAGGTGAGGAAGAATTTGAACGATTACACTAATGGGAAATGCAGAAACACTTGTAAACATGTAACTAGATAATCAATGTAAAAATAAAGTTCACAATTATCACAGCTTTTTATCATACACTTATTTGTAAGGTGAAACTGATTTCAAAGTATAGATCACAGTAAACTTATCTAAATGGGTTAGCTCAAGAACTTATTGCAGATGTAATAAAGGTCAGATAACAAACAGACCTTAAAACAAAACATAAAACTTAAATACATAAAATCAGGAATTTATTGACTTTAAATATTTACACAGCACATAAAAAGCCATTTTTCTGGCCATGCTACAGAGTGCTAGGGTTCTGAAACACCTCCAATAATATTTTATAATCATTTATGCAATAGGATGTCATTACATTGGATTTCCCCAGAGATTTCTGTGAGAGGAGGGGGGGGGGGGGGGATAGTGACTTTTCATTTTGTCTTCTCTTGATGTTTAAGCAGTAGAACATAAACATAATCTGAATGTTAGAACTGTGTGATAGCAATTTTTTAGTCCACAGAAATAAATCATAAGCTTAATTGCTGACATTGAAGTGTGCATTAGAATTAATTAAAGAACAATAAACCAGTTAGAAACATTGGTCCTATTTTTAACGTGAAAATTCTACAAATGAGGACATAAATTATATATGGTTTTGATATTCCAATATGGGACCTAAAACAACTATTAGACCAACAACAGAGATGTCTTGGATCCTAGATTAGTCAAGGAACTCCCTACTCTGATTTTCAAAAAAATAAAACTACTTGAGGTACCACATACTCACATATACTTTTCTTTCCTCTTCTCTTAATTTACTGTTACTACTAATAAAATGTCCATCACTCCCAAAACAAAATTGTACAAATTCTCATTCATAGCCAAGATTTAATTCTACAGTGAAACTCTCACAAGCATCAAATAAACTGCAATTATTTTAACGTGTCTGAACTAAATTCACTGAAAAAAGTTAAAGCATCTCATCTTTAATAAGTCTATGCATTTAATAAGTTGTTAAACTATCAGGATTTAGCAAGTGGGCTTCACAGCACAACCTACATTAGGAAGCTAACTAAGGAAGAATGGTCATTTATGAAAAGAGGCTCCAGACTAACCTGGGCCACCCCTGCCTGGTCTTTACTTTTAAATACAGTACCTTCCTCAGCCAGGAGGTGGTGACACACACCTTTAATCCCAGCACTTGGAAGGCAGAGGCAGGGGGATCTCTGTGAGTTCCAGAACAGCCAAGGCTACCCAAGTGAAACCCTGTCTTGAGGGTGGGGAGGGGGATTACATTTCTCAAGAAATGTTCAGTGGCCTACCTCTTTCACTGAATTTGTTGATGGACTAATACTCTTGGCGGTTGACTTGAAAGTATTAAAGTTGCCAACACCATATGTAGATTCATGAGGAAAAGAAGTCCCAACTTTGTTTTCTTTAGTTTGGCTTTTCCATTGTGTAGGCTAAAGAAAAACACAAGAATCTATAGTTACCAAAAACAAATTCATGAAAACAGAGAAAAGGTGAACACACTAAACAAACAATGATCACACGTGGCTCACAAAAGTTCTCTTCTACTACTTTCACCATCTCTCCGAGGTTCTTTGACCTTCAGGACTTGTGTTTTATTACTGGTTTTTGTTGTTGTTTTATAGAGACAATATCTATCTATTCAGCCCAGGAGCTAGCCTAGAAGTCACTATCCTCCTTATCAGGCCCTTCAGTGCTAGGCTTACAGGTGGGAACCCCAATATATGGCTCCATCTTTTTCTACAAATAAAACAGAGGTTTAATATGCAATAAAAACATCTAAATTTGAGGCTAAGAGATGGCTCAGCAGCTCTTGCAGACAATCCAAGTTCAGCTTGCAACACCAAAGTCAGGTGGCTCACAATCACCTGAAAAACCTCTGACCTCTTCAGGCACCTGCACATAGCCACACACATACTCACACACGTGATTTAAAATAATAAAAAGCTGGCACATGCTTTTAATCCCAGCACAATGGAGGCAGAAACAAGTGGATCTCTGTAAATTTGAGGCCAGGCTGCTCTACACAGCGAGTCTAAGCCAGCCAGAGTTTCACAGAGACCTTGTCTCAAAAACGCAAGATGGTAAGTTGTTCTCTAACCTCCACCTGTGCATGGTAGTACATGTGCACACACACACAACTACACACAAAATAATGTGATTTTTAAACTAATACAGTAATTTTTTAAATCTAAACCATTCTTATTTTCAAAATTTTTTACAAGTTAAGAGATTTCTTTTTTGTCTTATAATAAAACTCATGAGCATTTTAAAGACTTAAAACCGAGTACCAAGTAAACAGTATAATACATGTACCAAGCAAATAAATCCTAGTGCATCCAGTAGAGCAGAAATTATAAAACTTCAATTCTCTCTGCTCCTAAAGTAAAATAGTTTATATATATATGAAGCTTCTTTTTACAGCAGATGGAGACTACTACAAGAAACCAGCAACTGGTCAAAGTGCAGAGAATAACTGAGTGTGGAGTACCACTTCACACATGGGACAGCTATCTGTAACAAATTTGGCTTAAACACAGGACTTACTTTTGTAGGTGGAACAGCAGGTTTGGGGACTAAGCCTTTATAAACACTCGGACCAGTTCCATTCTTAACTGGCTGTGACTGAAGGTTTCCTGCTACTGGGAATCCAGATAGCTGTAAGTCTTTTGTATTACCTTTCTTAATGACCAGCATTCTTGGAGCTCTAGATTTAGGATTCGGGGGATATTCTGCATAAATAAAGCACAAGCATGTGTTATATACAATTTAAAATTTTAGGATAAATGATCCCATCAAAACCTTAACTGCATTTAAAAAAATAATACCAGCTGGTTTGGGGCAAAATAATCTAAGTGAGTAAAGTCAAATTCCAGCTTAAGCATAACCTTATGAAACATAAGAGTTTGGGCAATGCCTACTAATACAGAAGACCGCAGGCTAAGATGTAATTGGAAAACAAGAATTAGTATCTTTACATTCTTCACTTATTTAAAAAAACCTAAAAATTTTCATTTTAATGTGACAGTTCTAGTTTCCCCTTAAGCCAGTCTTAAAAAGTCAAAATTTCCTATTTTTTTCAATCCTTTCATTATACTAACAAATTTATAATCAATGAGTGAGGACCCACAATCCCAATACTTCTAAATGTCTATTAGATCCAACTATTAGTTAAAAGTAAAAATTATCTCATAATGTCAATTCATTCAAATATTTACGGTCCATATTAATGTAACTTAAGGCATCATGTGAAGTCAGTACTCGGAATAACTGCTAAATGAAGACGTTTTTGAGACTACTGTACTTGCTGGAAATATGAAACATTTTCCCTGGAATTTAATCAGGTTGTATGTATAATCAAACGTATTACACATACCTATCATTGTCACAAAGAAGTATATCCTTCATTCCTTACAAAAAATTCTGAAAGCTTCAGTTTCATAATTAAAAATTTTACAATAGCTAACTCAGATCAAAATCTCTGAAAAATTCTAAATTAAAATTAGCCCAGAATATAAATGGCATACTTTATTAACTGGTAAGATGGGTAGATGCTTGTGCTGATACCCTGGCTCCAAACTACCAACTTCCTACTAGATCACCTTAAAACTATGAGCAGTGGTGGTGGTGGTGGTGGCGGCAGCGGTGGCGGCGCACGCCTTTAATTCCAGCACTTGGGAGGCAGAACCAGGTAGATCTCTGTGAGTTCCAGACCAGCCTGGTCTACAGAGCGAGATCCAGGACAGGCACCAAAACTACACAGAGAAACCCTGCCTTGTGTGTGTGTGTGTGTGGGGGGGGGGGGGGGGGGGGGGGGGGGGGGGGGAGACGGGACACCTATGAGTACTTCAAATTCTCCAAAAGATAAAACTGATTTATCATCTACTGCCATGCTGACAGATAAAGAATGAGAACTTAGAACAAAATGAAAACAGGGTTACCATACTAAAAATTAAATACATGTTGAATTATTAGGGAAAATATCCTATGTATTGGTATCTAAAAGGCCTAATAGCTTTTTTTTTTTTTTAAAAAAAAAAAAAAGGAAACTTCAGGCACAGAAGACACTGAAGTATGTCATCAATGTATAATTTGACTTCAGATTTGATTATACAATGAAGTCAAGGAAACCAAAAATAGGGATGAAGATCTCGACTAGAGAACAATGAAGGACACCACTCTACTATTAGTGGTTTTTAATGAAAAGATAATAAAAATTAATAAAAACCCAAGGATATGGCAGCCAAGGCAGGAGGATAGTGAATTTGAGGCCGGCCTGTGCTAAAACTGAGACCCTGCTCGATTCCTCCTAACAAAAAGGTTCTTTGAGGACAGTCATGATGGCACCTATAGTGTCTAGCACTTAGAACAAGGAGATGGGAGATTGCTTGTGCCTAGGAGGACCAAAAACGTCTTCATGGCCAGGTGGTGGTGGCGGCGGCGCACGCATTTAATCCCAGCACTCGGAAGGCAGAGGCAAGTGGATCTCTGTGAGTTCGAGGCCAGTCTGGGCTACAGAGTGAGTTCTAGAAAAGTCTCCAAAGCTAAACAGAGAAACCCTGTCTCGAAAAAACAAAAAAAAAAAACAAAAAAAAACAAAAAACAAAAAACCACACACGTCTTCAGGAACATAGTATGATCTCATCTCACAACAGGGGGAGGAGAATCCCTGATAGTTCAGTGGTTAGGATTCAGATTTCCAAAAGGGGAGGGGGAGTTAAAATTAAATATAAGACAATTATCTTAGCCTTTAAATAACAGCAAGGAATCTGAGGCATAACTGATGTTTACAAAATACAAAAGGTAATTTTAAAGGTATCATTGCAGATGTCAGGCTTTGAAACAGTATACCACAATTAAATAGGACAAATGACTTCAATATGGCTAAGCAATGAAGTCCATCCTCCTTCCCTCATAGATTCTTCTAGTTAAGTTATTGTAATGAGCCGGGCGGTGGTGGTGCACACCTTTAATCCCAACACTTGGGAGGCAGACGCAGGCGGATCTCTGAGTTCCAGGCCAGCCTGGTCTACAAAGCGAGTTCAGGGCAGCTAGGACTGTCACACAAAGAAAAAAAAAAAAAAAGGTTCCTGTAATGGGGAAGGCAGGCAGATCGACTGTGTAGGAGTTGTCAGCAGAGGACTGACACACTCCTATACACACTGCAAGATGGAGACATGAAGGGATAAGTTTCAGTTTAGAATGTGCACAGAGAAATACAACAGCTGAGAATGATTTAATCTGCCCTACGGACTCTCAGAAGCAATGACGTAAAATGAAAATATCAAGATATGGCAGAAGAAAAGAATTTTTCCAAGCAAAATTATATAATTCACAACCTAGTCTATGTGTTTAAACACCAAGAAAATGGGTTTGACACAGGCTGAAGACATATGAAGAAATACAATTTAATATATTAATCACTGATTTTTAAAAGTAGAAACAAGATATGTATGGTGGTGTGTGCCTGAAAACCCAGGATTTGAGAAGGTCCACATCAGCCTGCATTACATACTTGGACCCCTAACTGAAAAAGGGGATGTGGAATAAGAACAGGAGGAGGCAAAGACAGAAAGTAGATTGATAAGTTGTTTGTTTCTTTGAGCCTCAAGTTGATTCTGACTACAAATTTCACCTTTCCTAAAATTGGATTCCTTGAAGCAAGAAATATTCTGGCTGTTTCTTCAATGAGGTCCTCAGTGCAAAGAATGATGGAATGCCCTATAAAGAAGAAAGGTGAAGCCTAAGAAATCACTCTCAGAAGAATAAGCAGCAAAAGTAAGAGATCACAAAAGTACCAGATGAAAGATGATAGGGAATTAGAAGGAAGAGAAGCAAATATTGTGTTATGCTCTAAGCATTTAAAGTATCATGATGCAGGAAAATGGGGTTTTGTACATGATTGTCAAACTCTAATACTAACTTCCAAGTAGCTCTAACCTTATTTATTGTACAACTTCATAGAAGTTGGTCTTTCACTTATTAAGATGCAGTCTTCTCTCATAATTATTACAAATTTTTGATATTTAACTTATACAAAATATACAGAAAAGACATAAGCTATTTTCAACACAGTAACAACTCAAAAAAGTACGCTTTTCCTAGAACTTAACAATAACATGTAAGAGAAGAAAAAAGAAAAAATTTTAAGAGAAACATGTAAAGACATTGATATCCTATAAAGCTATTCTGAATAAACTATACATAAGCTGCACAGTTAAGAAAACTTTGAGGCCAGTGAGATGGCTCAGCAGGTAAGGACACTTGTCACCACACCTGATAAACTGAGTTCAATCCCCAAGGATCCTCATGTTTGAAAGAGAAGTGACTTCCACAAGTTGTCCTCTGATCCCTACACACATGCCACTGCCATTTGTAAACACGCAACCACAAAATAATAAACAAATACGATTTTTTAAGGAAGTTTTCTTAGGGATTGGACAGATGGCTCAGGGGGTCAGAGTGATCACTGTGCGATCATAAAGACAAAAGTTCAAGACCCTAACACCTACATGAAAGCTGGTGTGGCCCGTGTACCTGAAATCCCAGCATTGTAGGGAGCAGAGATAGGACTACCATTAGTTCTTACTGACTGCCAGGTTCAGTGAGATAACCCATCTCCAACAAATAATGTTTAAATAATAATTAACAAATAATGTCAAAGCAACAAACCCAACATTCTCTTCTGGCCTTGGTAGCCAAGTTTGGACCAAACCTGGGCTATAAAGTAAGACCCTGTGTCAAATAGTTCCACTAAGAGAGGGGTGTTCTTATTGCAATAATGACCTGTAAGTAAAGAAGAAGTGACGGGGAAACTACTTTGTACACTTAACTTACACTACACTGTTTTATTATTTGTCTCTTTAGATTATTTCTCAATTCTTTTTTTTTTTTTTTTTTTTTTTTTTTTGGTTTTTCGAGACAGGGTTTCTCTGTATAGCTTTGCGCCTTTTCCTGGAACTCACTTGGTAGCCCAGGCTGGCCTCGAACTCACAGAGATCCGCCTGGCTCTGCCTCCCGAGTGCTGGGATTAAAGGCGTGCGCCACCACCGCCCGGCCTATTTCTCAATTCTTATACATCTTTGTAAGTATGTAAGTTTTTAGATTCACATACTATCTTAGATCTTTGTCAACTGTTAATGAACTCCATTCAAGAACTCTAAAGGTAACTGTTTTAAATTTTCATAGTATTTTCTCCTAGCTCCCTAAATAATTTATCTTACTGTAAGTGACTTTTATTGTTGTCTTGTCATGTGTGCCCTCCCTTCTACCTACCAATGCAAGAATTAGCTTTTAAATTTCTTAAATCAAGGTCACTGGTAGGGTGAAAACTGGCTTTTGAGAGAAAAATTAGAATATTGCTACAAATAATAAAAAGGACTCAGGTAGCTAAAATAGGAAGATTGAACATTTGAGGACAACCTGGCTACAGAGCTTGAACACCTCAATCACTGATTCAATCTTCTTTTCTGTTTTTATTATAGTTTTCAATTACCCAATTTCCTATCGTGAACGTTTATTTTTATAGAGAAAAACAATCTGCTAAAAAAATATTTCTAAAAAAACATAGACACTGTATTTTGCTGTTTGAATGTTCTTATTTAACAAATGTGTTTTGATCTACAGATGTTTTAATCAAGTAAGTTACCACTGTTAATTTTACATTAGTATCAACAGACACAGTGCCTTTATGAGGTCTCCTGCTTTATTTATACAGAACAGGTTTAAAGATACTTTACAAGCCATGTGTAATGGCAAAAACAGGCAGGAAGGTCAGAATTCAAGCTCATTAAGACCCTGCCTCAAGGTGGATGGGGGAGGTGGGAGGGAAGGGCTTTGCAAATATAAACAACTCCTATGAAAAGCAACGAAATGTCGCTCCTTTTAAAATTTTAAACCTTCTTTCTATCTGTGCTTCCTGAGTATTAGGATTATAAGTGTATACCACCACAACCACCTAAGCAAGTCATGTTCCTCACTGAAGATTTATTTTCTCAAACTGTCTACTCATACTCCATTAATTTATCCTACTCAGTCTTAAAAAAGTGCTGCCTTCCCCTTATGATGCTAATTTTGTTTTACTGTTTTTACACAAGACAGATAGTAAAGGAATGTATTTCAATACTCAAGCAAAACAATCCACCAACATACTCTTAATCTAGTTTCTCAAAGACTTTACTGGTTTTCAATACATTATACTTCATTTAGTGTAATTTCATTTCTCAACCTGTACGGTTCAAGCTAGCTAAGTTACAGTTCTCTAGCTAACAAAAAAATTGGGGGAGGAGGATGATAGTGGGGGACTGGTCACTAATATGCTTTGGTTTAGAAGGTAAACAAAAATATCTTAATAATGTACCTTATACTAAAAAGCACTCTATCAGCAAAAACCAGAAGGTTATCATATCATCAAATACGCACAAATATAAAAGGCTGACCAGAAAATTACAGTAATTAAAACATTATTCTTGAATGACTTCATATCTTAAGCACTGACTGTTACAATAATCATGGTGGTATGCATATAGCATAGTCTATTAGTACTTCTGAAAATTTCCAAGTCTATCGATAGCCACTGTGTCCTTGATTTCTTACACATACATAAACACTCATCTTTCCTTCTCTTTGTTCCTCAACCTCCAAATAAAAAAAGTAACAATTATTTTAAAATTCTCAGTTACTCACTGCCAAGTATCTTTAATTGCTATTTTAGCATTATGTTATTAAAAACACAGATTTCGGGCTGGAGAGATGGCTCAGAGGTTAAGAGCACTGACTGACTGCACTTTCCAGAGGTCCTGAGTTCAATTCCCCGCAACCACATGGTGGCTCACAACCATCTGTAATGAGATCTGGCGCCCTCTTCTGTATACATAATAAATGAATAAATTTAAAAAAAAGGGGGGGGGGACTGATAAAAAAAAACAAAACAGATTTTCTTAATAGTCATTAATCTTTTGTACCAAATAGCTGTGATCCTGGTTAAGACAAAAATAGTATTAAAGTCCTAGGTATATAAAGGTTGGAAGATGTTACCAACAAAGCCAGCTAAATCCTAAGTAAAAATAAACTTAGGTAATGACTTTATTTTAAATGGCTTAATTAATTTCCCTCAAGCCATTTTTTTTTAATTGGAGTATTATGTTACAAATAGGCCCATGTATGATTGACAAAGTCATAGTCTGGGAAACAAACTTTTTTCCTTTTTTACATACTAAATTTTTGTTAGTAAATTTTTTGCTTACCTGGAAGTATCACTAGAAAAGTTCTACTGAAGGCTTTGCTAAAATCCTCTCATCCTCCTCAGGAACATAGATAGCTATTCTAAATGTTGCTATGAGGAAAAGCATACTTGGGAACCCAGGGGGTAAAATGAGAAAGGAATAGTGAAGTGGGATACAATGAACAGTTTCATTGTATTTCTATGGGAAGTACTTGAATTTAACAATTAACCGTTCCACAATTTAACCTTTCGTTTTGTTTTTAATGCAGACACATATCTTAGTTTACCTAAACAAATAGTTTACCTCCCATTTAAATATCTTTTCAACTAGTATTAAAAATCCTTAAATCAACTCTGAAAACAGCAGAACCAAAATCTTTATACTAATACATTTTAGTCTAGTTTTCATAACTGTCTTTGTCTTTAAATCATTTCTAAGATTAAGTCAACCAAGGACCGTACCACATTAGTATCTTATAGTTTGTATGACAAATGCTGACATTCTTGACTTTTAAAATGTACTTTCATTCCACTAGAATCCAAATTATCCCTAATTTCTTAGAGATTCTATTTAACACTTTTCAGGAGATTCTATATTCTTATGCAATCAGTTGTTCCCAGAAAAACTGAATAATAAGGAAACATACCTAAGAGAGGAGCTTGGGAGATTTTTTTGGTTGGGTATGTGTGTGTCTGGGCGTGTAGGCCTGGGGAGAGTGGTAGAAATACTAATTTGCAATACAGAAAAAACAATGCCATTCACATGGTTCTAACAAAAATGTCTGACCACCCCCTCCCCCACCCTCAAAAGCCATTAAATAAAAAGGGAGATCAAAAGAAAACAAAATAATTCCCCAGTTTCACTCCATAAATACAATAAAGACCAGCACAGGAAGTGGCAAAGTTTAAAATAATGCCATTATTATTAGGATTAGCATGCTACCATAAGCCACAATCCTTTTGTTTTAGTAGGCTGTTGGTTTTCAATTAAAAAAATTACAAATGAACATGTGTACAAGTTTTAAAATGAATAACACTTTTAATTTGGTATCAAGTTTATTTTTCAGAAATCTTATAAATTTTCCATTATTTTAAACTTCACTTAAATCTTTTAAAAGCTTTCTAATTTGTACTATGAGTGCAGTTTCTTCTGTAAGATCTTATCAAATTCAACTCAGCAGTTTTAAAGGGAGTTATTTATCAGAAACTCAGTAAGCTTAAAAATCAAATTTCAAATATAGACTAATCAAAGGAAAATCTATACAATTAGTTTAATAGTCTACACACAACCATTTTCATACATAAAAAGTAATTTCATTTTACAATGACTACAAGTACTTATTTTCCCAGTTAGACAAATTTCAATGATAAAAAACTAAAAATTTAAACTATATATTGAATTATTTGAGATTATCAAGACTGTTCTCAAAACTGCATTAACCTGGAATCATTCTCAAAAAGATCAAATACTTAATGTCACTAGCATGTGTAAATTAAGTATTTCAAATAAAATTTATACCCAAATTCCTTTCTTTTAAAGGTATTACTTCAGTATCTTAGCAAATCAAATGAAGTTATTAAAGAGTACCCTATTTTATACTTTTTAAAAAGGCAATCTACAACAAATACAATATATTCTGTCCCTCAAAAAAATAGGTAAAACATTACTTACCCCATACACCCGCAGCTAAAGATTTATTCTGATTTGGTTCTCTCTCGTATTCAGGATTTAAAGATGGCTGAAAGAAAATTAAATTAAAAAATGTAACAAGGCATATAAGTGTTTCACATAGCAAAGGTCCTTTAAAACAATCACATGGTTACACATCTTTTATAACTGAGGAACATGGTCCGGTCAGCTCTTTATTTTAATACTAATTTTCCATAAACTTTGCTTTCAATTTTCTCTGCTAACCATCAAAATGTCTGTTTATTCTCACTGCTAATTGGAGACAAAGAGAATCTTTACCTTCATCTAACTATCTGAAGACTATCTGGATTAAAGTAGAGAACACAGACACAGGGTGGGAATGTAGCATAATGGTAAAGTGCTGGTCTAACACACATGCCAGGCCCTGAGTTCAATGATCAATACTACCCACCAAAAGACAAAAACCCCACAGAGCCAAGGTGTCTACTGGTCCCTATAGGAGCTGCTACTTAGAAAGGATAGGAAACAATGGCTTTTGTCAAGTTGTTCAAAGCAGAGCAAGACAGCAGCAAATGGAAACCCCCAGTCAGAAGTATAATGCTTTCTGCAGTACACAGTTGTGACCAAAGAGATGAAAATTACACTCTTCACCAATTCTATTATGTGCTGTATCAATGGAGTGTTTCTGTTAACACACTCATTCTCAGCACTTGGGAGGATGAGGCAAGAGAAATCAGAATGCCATCCAGAGTACATAATGAGTGACTGAGGACAGACTGGGCTACATGAGAGCCGTCTCAAAGAAACAACAGAAAGAACTAAATAGGACTGTATGCTAGTCAACTTTTTCTGTAACTTGCATAGATAAACCCGGTCTCAAAAAAGAAACAGAAACCAACACAGACATTCCCAAAGCAAAGTATGAAATTTATTTCAAAGGGTGCTTAGGATTATTCAAAAGAGATATGAGCATGAATGGCACTCTAAAGCTAATCTTGGTAGATGTTTAGACTCCAGAATCCTAAGACTTAACAGTTTAGAGTAACTTCACAGTATACCAGGTTACTTTTCATATTACCTGGCAACATAGTCTGCTTTCTTTAAGGAAGACACTTAATACTTACAATGAATAAAATGAATCTAAGTACAAATACTTTATGTACAGAAATTAACTATTATTAGCATGGAACTAACATTACTATAAAGCATAAGAACATATATGTTTACCCGTTTAAGTAATTTCTTCACAGAAAAGAACTAAATAGAATTAAGTTTATTTGGTGGCTACATATCCTTTTCTTAATTATATGATAGTATTAAATATACTATTATAAACTGTACAGTTTATTTATATATATAATTTATATATATGTGCATTTATATATACATTAACTATAAACTATGTCTATACTCCAGGTCTAAAAAGTTACAATAACTGATTACCATTATCTTAGGTCTGGAGGTAAGGGACAATAAGGGTGGGGTAGGCTTTTGGGGGGAGGGGTGAAACAGGGTCTCACTCTGTATCCCTCCCTGTCTGGCCTCAAATTCACAGAGATCAGCCCATCTCTGCCATCACTTCAGGCAGCCATTAGTTTTTATTAAGTGCTTACTATGTATACGTTCAGGGCTGACCATTTAATAATGGATAAAATGTACAGGTAACATACGGATTGAACAGGATGTATTTATATATTTAGGAACCCTCCTCCCTCCCTGCCCCCATCATTCATTCATAACAAAAAAGGCCATGTATTTGAAAAAGAGAATGCGATTTGCATGGGAGGATGAAAAGAGGAAAATGATATAATTTTATTATAATCCTACAAATAAAAAATATTATTTTTAAAAGAGCTTACAATGTGCTTACTATGTGTTTAATCCACTAACATTGTTTAATGCACTATTATCCCCAGTTTGATGATATACGTTAAATTATCTGGTGATTATCTAGTGGGGAAAAAACCAGACCATTCAAATGGTAAGGTACAGAAATGTCCAATGTTACTTGATAATACCTAAAACAAATCACTTACTCTTCATTTCCCGTAACCACTCCCCTGCCCCAAGTCCAATCTGTCAAATCCTTTCCCTAGAGCTACCTGAGATAAGGCCAAAGATAGCGAACACCTTACCTTTGGTTATCAAAGCTCCCAAACCAGGAGTCACTGTTTTGTCACTAGTCTTCCACTGGAGTAATTTAGAAACTCAAATCTTTTACACTAAAACTTATCCTTTCTTCCTCCCAGGTTTTGTCTTAAGTTTTATACTTAAGTATAAGAGCCTTATACTAACAAAGCCTACATCCTAGCTCTGAGCTACACACACTCCCAGTTTCTTAGTGCGACAAGACTCGTTCCTTTTGGTCAATTAAGTGCCAGACTCAGTGTTACAAAGAAGCCTCTCTTGACTTCCCTCACCAAAGTGTTGTACTACTCAGTCACTTCCTCTTCAAATTCTCTGCAACTTACAAGTTATTTTCTCATTTGATGTTAAGTCTTCCCACTAGGAACAGCTCTATGAGAACACAGATTCTGCCTGTCATATTAATCTATATATTCTGCATGCCATCAACAGCAACAGACTAATACAACCACTCAAATACATACCAAGAAACAGTAATAATAAAAAAAAAGTGCTGGTTCTCTACTTACACGATATATGAATTTTAAATTATCAGGAATGAATCAGAGCCAAGCACAACAGTGTACACCTATGTAAACCCAGCACTTGGGAAGTGAAGAAAAAAGCACCAGAAGTTAAGACTAGCCTCAGCCACAGAGTAAGTCTGGGACCAACCTAGGCTACACAAGATCTTAAACAGCACAACAACAAAACCCAAAGTAAAACTGTTTACTGGGTCACTTTTCTGTAACTTAAGAAGCATGGTGTTTAAAGAAGACATACTGAGATTAAGGAACAAGAGAAGATGAAAACTCTGCTTTCATTTACCCAAGAGGATCACATAAGCCCATGAGTTCCAGACAAGCCTGGGCAGCATAGTAAAACTCAATTGATCAATTAGCAAAATACATTTTCAAGACCACGCATGCATGAGTGCTTGCGTGCGTGCGTGCGTGCGTGTGTGTGTGTGTGTGTGTGTGTGTGTGTGTGTGTGTGTGTACACAAATGATAGATTATGAGGCACTTGTAAATAAACCACTAAACTCATGAGGCTTCTAGTTCTAAGGGGAAGTATTCAATTTTCATAAGGAATGAAAACAACATAAATAAGCCAAAAGGTTCTGGAGTCAGAAGGGAGGAAGAAAGAAACCATTTTAAAGCAGAGTTAGTAACCAAAAACTTCCCTTTAGAGTGGCCAGGGGAGATGGCTCAAGAGGTTAAGGTGCCTGCTGTCAAACCCAAAGGACAGACATTGTAAGAAGAGAACCAGCTCCCTGATACTATCCTCTGGAGGCTGTGTGAGGTGGCTCATGCGTTCTATCTCAGCACTTGGAAGGTAGAGACAGGCACTGTGAGCTCAAGGCCAGTTTGGTCTACACTGTGAGTTCTAGGACAGCAAGAGCTACATGGCGAGACTCTATCTCAAAACATTAGTACTAAGAACAATGTTTAGCACACTATATACTTTCGTTAATTTCACAGCAAAGGTATTGTATTTACCTTTTTTATTATATAGTGGGTATGACTAAATACCCTAGAAAATTAACAGAAAGGAGGAAGTATTTATTTTAGTGCATGGTTTCAGAAAGCTCAGTTCACTAGGGAAAGTCACTGTGCAACAGAAAAATTCAAATCATGGGAGCAGGAAACAAAAAAAAAAAGGAAGTAATTCCTTTTATTCCATTTGGCCCCCAAGCCCACACTCAGGATGAGTCTTGCCCTCTTTTAATCCTCTGGAACTGGCAGCCTGGTCTACATGCCAAGTTCCACGGAAGTCCAGGGCTACATAGTGATACCCAGTCTCAAAAAAACAAAAAACCAAGTTAACCTTGACCTCCACAAACATACTGTGGCCTGAACTAACACACATACAAGCACACACACACAAAATTAAAAGGTAATTAAAAAAATGTGTGATTCCTTATAAAATATGAAGTTTAAAATAAAGTAGACAGAACTAGGCATAGTGACTCATGCTTGAGTTCAACTCAGCCTGAGCTGAAGCATGAAACCCTGACTCAATACAAAACATCCACAACTGAACAAGCACCTGTTAGGATGACCCTACAGAAAATCACCTGTACTAATGTAAAATGAACAACGCCGACGACAAACCCTGTGAGTGCCTGCCTCGCTCCTGAAATGGCACTTGCAGAAACATCATTTGTATGAAAATCATAGACACTTACAAAGTCCTCAGCCTCAAACTGTCTGCGTTCTCTCTTGTCTTCTCTCCTCCCAGTGTCACTGTCAGGGATGCTGTTTTCATGGAGTCCTTGGCTCTTTCCAGAATGGAAAAGACTGCTACGAGAACGGGAATTTCCACCATGGTATCCCCCTCGATGATTTATGTTTTCTGTACCATTTCTGCCATGCGTACGCCATCCATTTTTTTCTTTCCTCCCAAAATTACCTTTATTTGATAACAGTAAAGTAATATAAATTCAAAGATAGTTATACTTAATGACTGAATAGCAATCAAAACATCCTAAAAAGAATATGAAAAAAATTATGAATTCCATCATTCCTTAGCAAATTTTACCTCCGTTAGGACGTCCAATACCAGAATCAAAGCCATCTGAAGAGTTGTGTCGTCGACGACTCACATCATAACGATTTTCTGTCCATGAAAAATTTTCAGAATGCTTCTCAAAATTCAATGATGACTGAAATAAATTAAAATAAATACATTTATTAAGCCTAAATTTAACTTTAAACCAGTAGCACATCAACTTATTTCTAGGAGTTTAAATGGTTAAGAATACATGCAGTTATTTCCAAGCTATTGAAATATGAAATTAATCAAATTGTTATTCTCTTTCCTTCTACTTTACCAAAAAAAGCATACTTTTCTGAAAGAATTCAAGAACTACACCTACTTTTCCAATCGTAATAGCAATAGTAGCAATAAAATAACCCAAGATAAACAAGTAAAAATGTGAAGCATTTTTAACAACATATAAAATTCTGTACTACACTCTATTTGATGTAAACATTTTCATTCTTTTTTTCTACAACAAGAAAAATTGTCAAGTGTAAAACATTTTTAAGTTTCCTAGACTCTTCATAAAGTAGTTAAATACAAAAAGAAAAAAAAGAGGAAAAGAATACAGAGTAACTATTTCAAAAATTAAGACTACAAAGTACAAGCTATTTATAATGGTTATTTAATGTATATATGTGAATAATATAATCACAATCAAAATTCTCAACAATTACAAAAAATTTTATTTAGCAAAGGGTTTTATGTGTCATCAGAAAAGGGAGGGGGGGAAGGTATAGTAGTGTCCGTTCTTTCTTTCTTTCTTTCTTTCTCTTAATGGACCTAGAAGCCTAGCTGACCAGGCTGGCCTTAAGAAGAAGGGCCTCCTTAAAAAGAAGACAGAAAATCCATGAACTGGGAGACACAATAAGCTATAGGAAACAATACAAATAATGATATCCTAACATGGAAAAGTAAGCAAAGGTATTCTAAGAAAGAGACTAGAAATACCTAGTCCCTTTAGAGTCCAAATGTGTCCTAAGTCCCAGATGCTGAAAAGAGTTCCAGGATTGCCCTTATGGTCTGGGACTAGCTTTGGTCTGATTTCCACTTGGTATGCCTATGCCTCCAATTCCTCTCTCTTAAAATGGCAGTGTTTACTCTGTGCTATTATATACTGAAGTATGAAACTTGTTTATTTTAAGGGGAGATTACCTTGAATTTCAGAAGAGACAGTGGATTTCTGAATAGTGTTAGGCCTGTGAAAGACTATGGGAACTCTGGAAAGTGAAACAAATGCATTTTGCATCATGAGATGGCTATGGGCCTGTGCCGGATTCAGAAAGGAATGCTGAGCGTGAATGTGTTTGAACACTTAAATCACCAGTTGGTGGCACTGTTTGGAAGGTTATGGAACCTTAGGGAGGTAAGCCTTGCTGGAAGAGGGAAGGAGGCACAACCCACTTTAGATTTCACAGGAGAACTCTCCTCTCTGTTCACTCTCTGTTTCCTGTCTGTCCATGGAATATTATCAGCCTGTCTCCAACGCCTGCTGCCATGAGAGAATGACTCCCACAAACCATAAACCACAATAAAGGAGAGAACAGAGAGAAATGCAAAAAAAAAAAAAATGGCAAGAACAGAATAGTATTTTTGTATATCAAGTGAAACTGAAAAGACAAAATTTAGTGATACAAAGTAAAGGCTAGTAAGAGTATAAACACAGATAAGACATGCCTACAAAATTATGACGATTTGGCCAGTTGCCATATTCAAGTAACACAATCAAATAGTTTTACAATTAATGCAAACAAGAGACTAAGTAAACAGCCATTAGTTTAGAGAGTGAAGGTATTAACTGCATGACCAACCAAATTTGCTTGACATCTATCAGGTAATAAGGAAACTGGAAAATTCTGACAAGCCCTCTCTGTCTCCTCTCTTCTTTTACTGTTCTTACTCCTAAATTCCTACTTCCATTAAAGAACTGGGTTAAATACTCAAAGTTTTAAGTGACAAAAAAATCCTGTATTTTACTGGTTACAGACAAGGTTTGAAATGTGATCATGCTTTATCCTAAGGTGAAAGTGCTAATCTGGAAATAGGTATACAATACAAACCATCTTTTACAGCAACTTAAAAAAAGTTTACTTGACAGCAACACTCTTTACAGACTAAAGTTACTTGCAAACACAATGAAGTTAGGTGGTAACAGGCTCCACCCAATTTAACAATGCTTTAGCATAGCAAACTAGTCTGGAAAGGTACATGGCCAATTTCTAATTATTAGTGTGTAAGAAAATACAAATAAATATTCATACTATTCCAAATTTGAAGAGTACATGGACTCATATGTAAATATTATAGAACTAAAAACCTGAAAGAATTTTTTTTACTTTTTTTTCAGGTTTTTCCCCAACTCCAAAACCTGAAAGAATTTAAAATAATATTACCCTCTACCTACTTTCTTTCAGAGAAATTTTTTTTTCTATTATTTGGTATCCCTAGATCAACATTATCATGACTTTTTGTGTGGCTTCAATATTCACTAAGACTCTAAAAACAAATTGTTACCATCAGTTATTATTCTGTGATCACACATATCTGAACATAAAATAGGGGGCTTAGAGAAATTGCTAGTATTTTAGGCAGAAAATAAAACCAAATTATAGATATTAATACACATCATAATTCAACCTTGTTTCTCAATCTTAAACACACAATTAAGCAATTAATGAATTTTGGTTATTATAATAAAGTTATAGTCATGAAAATAATTCCTGTCTTGGGCGGGGAACAGTAATCAATAGGGCCCTCCAATCTCTGGAACCTTCATGCCCAACATAGTAGTAAACTCCAATCTCAGCCACTTCACTATGATTTTCCTTGTCCAAACAACTTGCTGTTTCTTGTTACCCTACCCCCGTTTTTTGGTCTCCTACCCCCAATTTTCTTTTTCTTTCTCTCCCTCTCCACCTCTTAAAAATAGGCGTTCTCTGTGTAGACCAGGCTGGCCTCAAACTCAAGAGATTCGCCTGCCTCTCTCTGCCTCTCTTACACTTTTTAACACACTACAAATGCCAATTAGATATTTGTCCTGACTCCATAATTAATCAACTCACAATGCCTTTGTCAAACCAAATTGATTTTGTATGCTGAACTATGACCCTCTATTAATCTTTAATCTATTGTCCTTTCTATGATATTCAATACTAGCAAAAGTCTCCTCCTTTTAAAAATGCTTTGTCTTGCTGGGTGGTGGTGGCACACACCTTTAATCCCAGCACTCAGAAGGCAGAGCCAGGCGGATCTCTGAGTTCAAGGCCAGCCTGGGCTACACAGAGAAACCCTGTCGTCGTCGTCGTCGTCGTCCCAAAAAAGGGATTGTTTTAAAGTGGAGTATCACATTTACAATACCAATACTTGAGAGGGGGGAAAAGCAGGATGATCAAGAGTTCAAAAACAGCCAGGGATTTGAAGACCCTATCTCAATTACTCAATCAAACAGGTAAGAAAGGGTCTTCCTGTGTTTGTTTCTAGACATGGGGTTTTCTGCTATACATAAAAAGGAGTGGACAACTCTCACCTCTTCCTCTTTCGCTGTGTGATTATATACCCATTCATTCATACTTCACATCTAACAACCTGAATAGTCCAGATTCTTTTACCATTTCAGATCCTCACTTCTGATCTGCATTCTCTACTGATAACACACTGATGTCTCTCTCAGTTTGGATTTTGTTTTGTTTTTTCATTTTTATTCACAATCTCCTAAGGCAAGGTTCTCTCCTTCCACTTTCATGATAGTTCCAAGGATTAAACTGAAGCTTGCATAACAAGTGCTTTTATCCATCCACTGAGCACTCTTAAATTTAGACATACCCAAACCATAACTCTACCATCACATTCCTGTTTCTAAGTGATCTAAGCCTATAATCAGAAAAAAATAATTTCATTAAAAATAATGACACTTTGTATGCAAACTTTAAAAAATTAAGGGGCTGAAAGCTAGCTCAGTAGTTAAGAGCATAAACTGCTATTCCAAAAGACATGAATTTGATTAACAGTTCTTCAGTGCCTATTGTGCCAGCTCCAAGGGATCCAATGCTTCTGGCCTGTCAGCACCTGCACTCATGTGCACACACACACAGAGATGGACGGACTGACATGGACACACACACACAATCTTTTTAGAGTTCTAATGGGGGGATAAAGTAAGAAGGCAAGAACTAAGGACTGTCTCTGCTAAATGCATTACCTAGCACCTACTAACACCTTAGTTTTTATCACTAGCACCATGCTTCCACCCCTCCCCCCAAAAAGGGTGAAGTCATTCAAAAATAACAAAAATAGAGAATAACTAATAGATCTAAATTACAAGACACAATGGAAAACACCTTTTGAACTTAAAAAAAAAACACTGAAAGGAAATTCAAATACATAGAGGTAGCAAAGTACAGCAGGAATGGAAAATGTAATTCAGCTCTATGTTTGTGCATATGTATACATATACATTGTAAGGTTTTAAAAATTATTTTTCAGTTTCTTAAAAAAAAAACTTCCTACTGCTATCGTTATTTATATTTTACTAGTAGGAATGTAAAGTTGTACAGTCACTTTGGACACTAGTTTGGCAGTGTTTTGGTTTTGGGTTTTGTTTTGTTTTGTTTTGTTTTATTTATTTTGGTTTTTGGGGGGACAGGGGAGGTCCCAGACAGGGTTTCTTTGTGTAGTCCTGGCTGTCCTAGAACTCAAGAGAATCACCAGTTTCTCTCTGCCTAATCTCCCAAGTGTCGGAACTAAAAGCAAGTGCCACCACTGCCCAGCCAGTTGGGCAGGGTTTTTTTTTTTTTTTTTTTTTTTAAACTTAAAAGGCCAAGTATGGTGGTGCATACCTTTAGTTCCAGCACTTAGGAGACAGAGGTAGGTGGATCTCTGTGAGTTTGAGGCCAGTCTGGTCTACAGAGTGAGTTACAGGACAGTTCAAAAACAACAAAGCCAACTCCTCCCCCCCCCCCCCCCCCCCCCCCCCCCACACACACACACACACACACACGAGTGGCAGTGCACGCCTCTAATCTCAGAATTTGCAAGGTCATCATCAGCTACACACCAAGTTTAAAGCCAGCCTGGGGTACAGGAGATACCTTCTTAGATAGATGGCAGACAGAACACAGCAGCAAT